GCGGCCAGCGAGGGGGAAGGCGCCCCGAGACCTCGCCAGAGCTCCTCTCTCCGCCTCTGTTCGGGACCGTGCGCCCGAGGTCGGGCGCAGAAGCACAGCCAAGGACTTTGGGAGATGTGCAGAGGGATGTGGGGCCGGTGTGGTGTGGAAGTCAAAGATTGTCTACTTTCAGAAAATAAAACATCCCGAACGAGCCAGCCGAGCCCGGGTGCTGTGTGTGCAGGGCTGAGGGCTGGGCCCGTCCACTCTGAGGTTCCTTTCTCGGCCCCTCCCCCCGCCCCCCGTACACACACACAACACACACACACACACACACACACACACGTAGGTAACTCATCTCGAAATGAACATCAAGAACAAACAACCTCAAGAGAGGAAAGAGCCTGCAGGCATGAGGAGCCTGCCTGGCTGGTGTGGCTCAGTGGTTGAGCATTGACCCAGGAGCCAGGAGGTCATGGTTCCATCCCCGGTCAGGGCACCTGCCCGGGGTTGCAGGTTGTGGGCTCGATCCCCTGTAGGGCGTGCAGGAGACAGCTGATCAGTGATTTTAATCATTAATGTTTCTATTCCTCCCTCTCCCTTCCTCTCTCTGAAATTAAAGAAAAACTTATCTTCTGAACAGTGAGGAGCCCCGCCAGGCCCTGTGTCCCGAGGCGCTGAGGTTTGGGGGTGACGATGGCTCCCACCCCTCCCACTGTCCCCAACACCCACCAAGGCTGCACTGTCACCCAGACCCCTCACACCCTAAAGACACCTCCACCAGGGTCAGAGCTGTTCCCGGAGAGCAGAAGAGGTTCCCGGAGAGCCCCGAGGTGCCGACCCCCATCAGGGCAGGGCGGTCCTGCAGGGCGCAGCACCCACCGGAGGTGCCCCTGAGGCCCAGCATTCGCTGACTGCGGTTACAGCATCTCCGTGTGGGGAAAGCACTGATCAGAAGTCAAGGACGTGTGTCCACCCTGCACAGGCTCCTTGCAAATTCCTTTAACACTCGCGACGGAGCTTGTCTGCAGTGGCCCATTTTATAGATGAACAGGTCGAGGTCAGGGAATGGTGGAGACGCCTTTCCTGGGCGGAGCAGAGGGGAACGTGCCCCCCACCCCAGGCCTCCATTCTGTCCTGCCTCTGCCCCTGACCACTGTGCCTGGACGGAGGGATCAGGACCCCAAGGGGAGCACAGAGTCACCCTTGTCACCTCCTTGAATCCAGCACCCACACCCACACGAGCCCTGGGCGAGGGACAGCAGACAGGTGTACACACAGGTGCACACGCAGACACTCAGCACCTAGTCACCCAGGAACCTGGCTCTCTCCCCGCCCAGCCCCGCCCCTGAGCCCACGTGGGGATCCCCTTCACGCCTTCCCACGTCACCAAACAGCAAAAGCCCAAGGGGCCTCTTGAAGAAGAAGAAGAAATGACGTGATTTAAATCAGAGACTGACTCGGCTGCGAAAGGACCCATGAGCAGCTCTAGCCTGAAAATGCACGGCTAGAGGGGACTGAGGGTTCAACTGCCCATCAAGACGGTCAGGCTGACACGGCCCTGGTCCCCCTACCCCTGCCCCACGGCTTCAGCTCCCCCTGGACACAGCCCCCCGATTTCTCTCTCTAGTCCTGAGGGTGTGTGACTCCAGGGATGTGCCCCAGCACTTCAAAACCACCAGGATCGAACCTGGGTCCAGAATCTCCCACTGTGTCCTGCCCCTCCCGGGCCTGGCCCTGGGAGAGGCCCCAGCTCATCCTCACAGCCTCTCCCCCACAGCACCCCTAGCCCAGGCCGCACACAGGGTCAGGACAGAGCGGTCCTTACAACACTGCGGGGAAAGCTGGGCCAGCCGCTCCCAGCCCTGCACAGGAGCGAGTGACCAGGGGAGCCGGGCCAGACTCCCAGGCATGCCAGTCGGGGCCCAAGGCCACCGTCAGAGAGAGGGCCCAAGGGGGCATGGCCAGTGGGTCTGGTAGGGAGACACTTCCAGGGACCCCCCAGCTGTTCAGCTGCACCCCAAACTCCAGTTACCCAAGAGCCCCAGTCTCAGCCCTGCAGCTGAACACCCGGCCAGGAGAGAGACATGTGCCCTCCAGGTTCGCAGGCAGTTGCTCCGGAGCCTGGGCGGGCGGCCTCTGGGGGCACTGGCCTCTGGGCTCCTGGCCCCTCCTCTCCTGAAGGGCCCCACCCAGGCCCCATCCCAGCAGGGCCCAGCCGGGCTGTCACAGTCCTGGGGCGCCCCCTGCTGGTTCCTTTGGGAAACAGCCAGTAAACCAGACCCCACCCAGCGCAAGGGCTCAGAGGAAAGACCTCCATCCCCACCACCCCAGATACCCCAACACATTAGTCAAACAAACGAAGGGGTGAGTGAGTGAATTGCAGCAAGAAAACAACAAACAAATGACCTTTAAAAATGTGGCCCCAGATGAGGCCTGTCAGAACCAGACGCCCCCACCTTTGGTGCGCCCAGAGGGTGTAGGTTCCAGGAAAGTGCAGGGAGGAGATGCAGGGGGGGTGGGGGGGAGACATAGAGCTTTTGTCATTAAGACCGTGTTGGCCCAGCAAGGGCGAGACAAGACCTCAGAACAGAAATAAAAACCCATCCCAGGGACCTTCCCAAGACCAATGTGAAGAACAAAACTCTTAACACTTTTAAAAGGAAATATGGCAGGCAGTCTTCATGAGCTCTTAAACGGCACCAAATTATCTTAAACAGCACCCCAAAAAGCGCACACGCGCCCGCGTGCACACACACTCACACACACACACACACACACGTGTAGGAAACGGACTACATTCCAATGAAAAGCTGCTGGACCAATGAGCAAACAGATCAACGGCGAAAACCGCACAACCAGCCCAGGAAATGGCATTGCCAGTGTGTAACCCGCCAGGGTGGGAGCCCAGAAGACATGCCACATTCCCTCCACCCTACAGGTAAGAAATGGGGTCGGGGGAGAGACAGGTCAACAAATGGGCTCAGGCTCCCAGGAGGCGCTGGGCAGGAGAGGAGGCCCAGACGGCGCCAGGCGGAGGGACGATGCCGCTGCCCGTGGTCACGGGGACAGCGGAGCCACACACAGTGACACGGCTCAGCCCGCCACTGGGCTGCTGACCAGGATGCAACACATGCAATTTCAGGCCAAGCTGAAGGCTTGCGGGCTTGCATTCTCCCTCTCTCTCTCTTTTTTAAATTTTTTTTTAATTGTAAAAACAGACCTTTTTTATGGTGAAAACAAACAGAGCCTGAGTTCTCCATGCCCCACCACGCTGTCCTCCGGCTGAGCTCCCCCAGCTCCGGAACAGAAGCAGCGGGGCCTCCGCCGGGCGGGTATGTTACATGTGAGTACAGGGGTGCGCCGTGGTTCTCATACGAAACAGGGCCCATGACACGACATGGGCCGATCTCAACATTACAGCATTGCATTGTTTCAATAGCAAGGAGATACGGAGGCAAGATCCGTGTACAAAGAGTTGGAAAACGCACGAGGAACGATCTATATCTGTTCACATCTGTGGTAAAATACAAAGAGCGCGGTGGCGACATAGTCCCCAGATGATGGCAGGGGCTGAGCGGAGGAGGTTCACAGGGGACTTGGATTGGGGGGGGACGTTCAAGCAACCGTCTCAAGCACATGTGAAATAGGGCAGAATGTTAAGATTTAGCCAAGCTGAGTGCTGGAGCCTGACACCCATTCTCATTGTCTCGCTACTTGTCTGAATGCTTTAAAGGTTCCCACACAGTGAGCCCGGGGCTCAGCCCCAAGCACTGGCCTGTCGTAGAGGCACCCCAACATCTCGGTGCCTCTCATCCACGGCCACACGGGAGAATCAGCCACGGTTCGTTTAAGAAAGGCGTGGGCAAGCCCGCATGCCCGGAGCCCCGAGATGATTCTGCCGGCAATGGACAAGGGCGGTCTTCTTATTTTTTCTGGGAGGAGCCTGCGACCGAGGTACGTGCCCTTAACCAGAATCGAACCCGGGACCCCTCAGTCCGCAGGCAGACGTAAAGCATAACTTTCAATGTGTGCTCTAGGCTGATCTGAAGCCAGGGGCCTGCCTGGGAGGCTGCGGGGCGGCGAGGCGACCGGGGCCTACCTGAGGGCACCTGGGCCAGGTGCTGGAAGGCCAGGTGCAGGTTCTCGCGGCAGGCCGG